GTCGCTTTGAAATTCTCAGTCAGCAGCTGAATTAAAGTTCAGAAACATGCAGGAGCAGGCGCGATTAGGCGCTCGAGGATGGATCGTTATATTACTATGTTTACTGCTCTACCGATGAGTACGACAAGACCTACAAGTTGTACATTCCAGTGAGTAAGATCTACGGATAAATGAGTGCCACAATTCTGATCACATCTATTTGTAAAATGTCAGTGATGAGCGCTGAGCGCAGAGGATCCGGAATCCGCGCACTGTGCAGGGAGACGAACGTAGTGGACGGATATTGTATGGACGACGGCATGCCAACGGTCCTTGAAGGGAGCTGATGATCCATCGTGTGGTGATATTAACCACGAGCCTGGCATGAGGTGCACTTTGTCGCATAGTATTGTACGTTTTTTTGCCACAAATCGACGTCGCTATCTTGGTACGATTTGTGTGGCACATTACACCGCTTAAGAGATGTAATCATATCGTACACAGACGGCAGGAAAGTTGAGGGTACAGCGAATTCAATACCCATACATTACGTCATCAATCAAGATCCAATAATTTGACGCATAAAAGCGGTACACCACTCTTCCATGCACTTTCTGTATCTTTCCGCTGCTTTCCTTCCTCATCGTCCGCTGTAACGCTCAGCTCGCTTTATCTCTCGCCGCCAAGCTCGACATTGAGCTCGATACCAGGACCTGCACTCGATACCAATAAATGGAACGGTGAGCAGCCATGCAATATCGAGATCGGACTGGAACTGATTCGGACACTGCCAGATACTCCAAGGTAGAGAAAGTCGGTGCGTGGCGACCGTTGTTCTCGTTTCCGAAAGTGCTGATGATTCCGGGCTGGGCGTTGCTGCAGGCGAAGGTATGGCACACTGCTCTATCGATGACGGCTCCGCTGACGACCTCTGACCGGCAGGCACGTACGGCGTCGTATACAAAGCCCGGGATACCAGCACCAACCAGATAGTTGCCCTCAAGAAAATCAGGCTCGAGGCCGAGGACGAGGGCGTACCCAGTACCGCCATCCGGGAAATTAGTCTCCTCAAGGAGCTCAAGGACGACCATGTCGTTCGGTACGTTTCAAGGCTTAACTCAGTATTCTCGGTTCTCAGTTTCTTATCCAGCCTTCTTGACATCGTTCATGCTGACCAGAAGCTCTATCTGGTCTTCGAATTCCTCGATGTCGACCTGAAGCGATATATGGACCTTGCCAACAAAAACCATACTCCTATTACGCTGGAAATGTCCAAGGTACAGTTGCCACCATTCTCCATAATTTTGTGAGCGCCCTATCCATCTGACACGCCCGATGCGAAATTTTCGACGCGTCTGACGCGAGATTTCGGCCGGAATGACTGTCCAGGGGTGACGGGCGCTGTCCTTGCCCGCCCATATATCTCTGCTTTTCATTCCGGTACGACTCCTAGGCGTCTTGTTCTACCTATATCTGGGACTATCGTGTTACCCCTTGGAGTCTCCCTACTTCCACGAGTGGCTTCCTTGTCTGCGGAACAACATCACGTGACCAGGACGCGTTCCTTTTTTTCTTCTAATCTGTCTCCTATCACGCGTTCTAATCTATACATTCTGGTCGTAGAAATTTTTTCATCAGCTGAATTCCGGTTTACTCTACTGTCATTCTCATCGGATCCTCCATCGAGATTTGAAGCCCCAGAATCTTCTCATTGACAAGCACAATAATCTTAAGTTGGCAGACTTTGGGCTTGCTCGCGCCTTCGGGATACCCATGCGAACATATACCCATGAGGTAATACGAGCGCTATTTTCAGTCATCAAGTGTTCCTAACCATGCTACTCGCCAGGTTGTTACCCTTTGGTATCGGGCCCCTGAAGTTCTCCTAGGCTCTCGGCATTACTCAACTGCTATTGATATGTGGTCTGTTGGAGCCATCTTTGCTGAGATGGCTTGTCAAGGACAGCCACTCTTTCCGGGAGACTCTGAAATCGATCAAATTTTCAAGATTTTCAGGTACCTTCCTCCTCGGAAATTGGTTACTTGCGAGTCTAACAAGCGCATCGCCTTAGAATTTTGGGCACTCCGAACGAAGACATGTGGCCTGGCGTTTCCAATCTGCCTGATTACAAGGCCACTTTCCCCCGTTGGGGCGTCCAAGATATCTCTAGGCTTGTCCCCGATCTGGACCCCGCCGGGATTGATATTCTTAGAGTTCGTTGATTCCTCCCTATCTCATTAAGCTTATCTTTTGATAAATTCTGCAACGATCAGCGTCTTCTCGCCTACGATTCTGCGAGGCGTATTTCAGGTTTGTGCATTAATTGCAGTTTCCATCTGTTAATTTGTCTGACATCCCTGCCCAGCCAAACGTGTCTTGCAACATCCTTACTTCGCTGGCTACAACCCGGATGCCTAATGCAATCATCTCATGTCGTGCGCCTTGTCCCACTGTTTCCTCATTCGCATTCGCCGGTTCAACATATGTGACTTCCTCCTTTCCCGGAGTTCCTGTCTGTTTCTCATCGCATCGCATTTGCATTCATTCATCAAACTTATGCCAACTGTTGCTTGCCATCCACTCACGTACATCAGTTTGTAATAGTATTATTGTTCCACCAGCAAGCCTTTGCTTATTATCCTCATTCACACATAATCGTTAGGCCAGGACCTCTAAAATACATTTTTATCAATATATACCGAACAATATGGGGTATTATTTTATGCTAGCCCGCAACTAAATACATGGTATCCTTTCCACTCAATTCCTCATTATTGACTGTTTTCATTTTCAAGGCTCATTATCCTCATCAATGTACTCAAACTGAGCTAGCTCAATCTGGAACATATGCAAAGCCCTTTTCTCGGCCATCCCAGCGACGTTGAGAACCAGCCGCGTCACTGTCATGGTGGTCGAACACCAGATAAAACTGTTTGCGATCAAGGTTAGTTCGCTCCGTTACGCGAGGAGTAGACGAACACACAATATTCCCAGAAAAATGAGAGAGAGCTGAACAGGGCTCAGGCTGTGAGCACATAGAGCGGATCCGATGGACGATGTCTTACCGGTGCGACAAAAGATAGAATGAGATTCATTAATCGAAGAACTGAGGCGGCGCTTAGCATGGCAACGAAGAGACCCAGAGACGTGGCTCAATGGACTAACCAAAGACAACCTAGGTGAAATAGAAAAGTGATTAAAACATTGCATCCCATGGGAATAGAGACGTGAGCTGACCAGAATATACGCAAATCCGTCTCTGTAAAGGACTTTGGTGAAATCATCTTCCAGATACCGAGGTCGGGAGAGCGCATTCCAGAATAGAGCAGAAAATATGACAGCTTCGAACGCCACCTAGCCGTACCCAAAACGGCGTCAGACCGAAATTCGAGGAGAGCAAGAATATGGCAGACTTACCCCTGGTGCCCAAATGATTCCGGCGGAGTGGCGGTCTGTGAGCATGCACATTGAGAAAGTGGGATTGAAGTAGACGGATTCTGATAATAATGGAACGGAGATAAGCTTGAGTCTGAGAGGCTACTCGCTCTGGGGCTCACCGGTGATATGTACAAGGGCGAATGTCAGGCAGACGAGGTTGGCTATCTGGGTTGCCACGAACAGACATGAGGTTAAGATCATGAGCCGTCCATCTCTGTCCCAGAGATTCCATATATGCATAAGGGCTAGGACTGCGTACGACGGATGAGAACGGAATCAATAATAAGTGACAAGTTCGGTTTACAATTTCCTATGGCGATGGTGATGATACCCATGGAGGCCTACAGATGTACATCAGAGACAGCCCTGTTCAACAGTGGAGACGAAACTTACGGATACATTAAACCAGACTTTACAGCTGGTCCGTTCGTTACTGGTATCAGGTTCGAAACAAAGTTTGAAAACTGATAAGACTTACAACTAAGGAGCCATCAGTATTCCGTATACATAAACCGACCGAAGTTACCCACCATATCGGAAAAAGTGCTCAATCCTGTCAGCTCTACGAAATTCATTCACACGTCAAATCGTTGAATTGCCGTAGAATGATCCTGAAGCAACTTACGGCAGAGGTGGATAAGGACGAAGGCTGGAACGAAATAACGGATGATAAGGAAGAGTATCTTGGGTAACGTCCATGGAGCCGCCCATATGAACCTAATCTCCTTGTCGAACGTCAATATGTGGTCGTAAAGCATAAGCTGGCCCAATGAGCATCCTAGTCACCGCGTAAAGGTAAAGTCCTTACCACGTAGCCGGCAACTGTTGAAATATGAACATCAAAATGGAAATACAAGACACGTTTGGTAACGACTCACTGCTTGCATATCTCGATGCATATACATTGAATGCAACGGCGGTGTATTCCTGGGCGTCCATATTGGAGTCTGGACAACGACGTCCGGGGCCCGTAGGTGAGCTCCCTCACACACACGTAGCAGTCACCTAACCGAGGGAAAAGAAAGAAGGCCTACACGTCGGACAGACGACAAACCCCATTTATGAACCTCGATGACAAAACATTTTGGTAATTGGTCGAGTTTCCACGGGGTCGGGAGACTGGACTGTGGCGTACGCGGTTTACGTCTTCCATTGTGCGCGCGGTTAGCTCTGCCATCACTGCGGCGGAGATTTCGCAGGGAGAAATGCTCGGATGCTGTGCAAGTGTGATCCTTGCTCGCTCAGGTTCAGAGTCGAAAACTTTTTGCATTTTCGATATAGTATTTGAGTAACGGCTGGGTGGATATTCTGAGCAGTGAGAACTTGAATGTATGCTTCACTCACGATGACTCGGAGGAGTCTTCAGGCAAGGAGATGCGGTGCTCACGATACTATTTTGTATCCTTGCAGGGGTAGCGATGGCAACACGAACGTGAGAGTCACAGACCGGGACGAAATTTCCGAGCGCTTGTCAAAGAAGGCTTCAGCACAATCCAGGCACAGTCAATCACGTCTCATCTAGAGGAAGGAAAGAAAGAAGCCTTATCACTGGAGAGTTGATAGTGCTCGTCAACGGGAGCAGTCGGATATGGTGTAACGGCTAACATTGCCGCCTCTCATTGGATGGTTGCAAGATTCCGCGGCAGCTCGGGGTTCGATTCCCCGTATCCGAATTTTGGTTTGTAGAGTAACAATCAAAGATCCATCATCCAAGGAATGAGATATTGGTGAATTTTTTTTTAAAATGATTGGTCAGCAATGAAGCTGTAAATAATCGGATAACATAAATAGGGATTCAAGAATCAAAAGCAAAGTTAGCAAACGAACAAGTTAGGTAGCTGCAGTGTAGGACGTAGTTTCGTGATGATAATGATGATTCGGAAATTCGATTTTAGAGGCTATTGACGCCCTTTACGGCGTATGCAATGTGCATACAATCTGTGATTTTCTAACACCGCTTGGGACTGTGGGAGGGGTTCGTAAACGAGTTCTAACATTGCCTTGTATCGCATCGTATTGTATATATCTGTTCGTGTAACATGTTCAAGGGAGAGTTATTCTTTAGTGTGAGTTTGCTTGGGCGAGGTAAAGTGGTGGTGGCTTATCGTGGCCCGTAGGCATCTATCCTGTGTGTAGTATGTTAGCGATCGTGAGTCGCGACGACTTTGCACGGTCCCTTCTTCGCGACCTCCTACCATTTACCATGAACTCCGTTACAAGCTGCTCGTTCCGGCCGATTGCCCACACACGCGCTTGCCCTTTCCCTTCATACCGCCCTGTTCATATACGCCATACTCGGCTACTCACGAGAATCAGATCTAGAGCGAGGATGATATAGAAAAATAATTTTGGTCTGTATAACTCGACAAGATAACTGTAAAGCCAACTATGTTGGATAATAATAACGGGCAAGTAAGTCTGCCCTTACTTACGATGACGTATACCCATGACGATGCTCCCGGACTAATATTTGGTTTTGGTTTCATTCTTGCCACCGCCTCGTATAAATAGCCCACCTTCATAGAATCCCCCATTCTTTCTTTCCCTCCCTCCCTCACGTAGACGTCTGTATCGCTCTCTCCAAAACGCCCGCGCTTCACAGTACCCATTGTCCCCCGTGAGTTCTAATCCCTAGTGAACAGGTTTTCAGACACTGACTCATGCGAGGAATATCGATTGTTTGTGAATCACTACGTTGGTGTAATATCAAACGTTTTTGCCGTTTGCGGACGGTGATAATTTCTTTTCGGTGACTCCCATGAGCTCTGCATGGTATTGTCGGGCCTTCGCTGCACGATCCGTGACCAGTCCTCGCTTCACCAAGCTACCCGGACGCTTCTCCTCCCGGACTTTCTCGTATCTCTCTTTCTTCCCGGCCCACCACTGCGTCTCAGCCTCGCGTAGACCGCTTGGGAAGAGCTCGCCAACCAAGGACTTGCCGACCTTGGGATAGTCTTCCTCAAGGTCCATCAGCGCGTCCATAACCTCTCCCCGCTGGTACTCTTCCACCTTTTCCAGGTGGATCCCGCTTGTGCTGATGCGCCGCTCGGTCCCCGCCACCAAAACGTTCTGCACCATGCCTAGACATCCGACACCCAGCAGGTACCATGTATCTTCCTTGAGCGCAGTGACGGTAATGAGAAAGACAATCCAGAGTGTTGCGAGCACCAGACATGCGATCTGGGTGAACAAGAATGTACAAGTGTCATCCTTTCCGCGACGTCTCATTCCTGGTGGCTCTGCCGCTGCCAGATCCTCGAGGTCCAATCCTACTCCCCTTCCAAGTATCACCATTACATATCTCGTCCCGTTCCCGCCTGTGATGCTCAGCACTTTCTTCGTATTCCGCCGACACGCCCACTTTTCGGATCGCCACTGTGGAAGGGCGCCTGTCACCAAGGCGAGCAGTGTCCCCACGGCAGTGACGAATATAATCGACCAGTTCCGGTGTAGCCCACAGGGAATGGCAGCGACGCCGAGCTGAACGAAGATGGTGAACAGACCGCTGTACCACCACAGATCCATGCTCGGTATCCCTGCCGAATCCGCGTCGACAGCTTCGAATACAGTAATATTCATCCCTACACTGTCACGTAGCGGCCTCTGAAAGTCGCGCAGGAGTCGCCCGAGGACCCACGACTTGCTATCGCGCTTGTATCCGTTCTGTGCATTGATGACCATGGCTGGGTAGTCGGGCGGGGGAACAAGACGTCCGTCGCCGAAGACGTTCATGAGCGCGTTGAACGAATACGAGACCCAGCCGAAGCTGAAGGCAATGGGAGTGAATGGACGGCCTGCAAGTTGGGCCAGGGCCTTGAGGATGACGTCGCCGCCGATGATGAGTAGTATGGAGAGTGTGTCTGAGGGGTTCTGCCATGTATCCCGGATGGCTTGAGACGTCGAGTCCCTTTTTTGCATGATGGTCGGTTTTGGGATGGCAGAGCATAACGCGACGTCTGTGAGGAAGAAAAGCGGAGCGATCCAGGCGCTGCGGATAAGCATCATGGGCGAGAGCACGAAATACGTACGACGTCTGCATTTATAAAGCTAATTCAAACACCGTCAACGAGCAGGGCCCGGAGCATCAAGGTTGTCACCACAATCATCCCAGCAGTTCAGTGCCAACGCAGCGTGCCAACCGGTGTTTGGTACGACATCAAGCAAATAATGATTAACAAGTGAACACGATCAAGTCAGCTTCCATGGGGGCAAAGGTGATGATCAATTTTATCAGAAGCAGAAAGTGATCGGAGTTTCGGAGTTTTTTTATTTTACCTCCGATCACGAAAATCTCCGCACGAGGTCGGCTATAGCTAGACTGTCGGTGTGTGTTTCACGTTCACCTTGCTTTCATAACTTTTCATTCAACTTGGCCAAGATAATACCAGATCTATGCTTATCTGCTCCGTAGTCCACACTTTGGTAAATGGGCTTGACTAGCAGTGTCGGGCCTTTCTCTAGTTCTCGGCTTTATCTTGGCTTTATCCTGCTACCAGCATAGACCGATTTTTTATCCTGGGTTACTCAGCATTTGCGGATCGATACAGGTACATAAACCTCAACGGCAAACAGCACCCGTAGCGGATGAAAATAGTGCGAGTGCATGCACATCTTGTACCATTCCCAGTGGAAAGATGGACGAGTAAATGCAGTACGAATATTGATTCCTCCACCTTATTCGACGTCCAGTGCTTGAAGACTCCTTTGCAGTTCCAGCCTGGGGGTGCCATATGCATAAGATAGAAGAGCTGGGGCCCCTGGCGGCTCTGGGCCCCCGCTCTCACGTGGGACCGAGCGATTTGTATGGCAAAAGGGCTATAGCCTGAGGCAGAGTACCGCTACGCCTGAGTCTCCTGGGGTTTTTGAGAAGTTGTTCATCAGTCTCACTTCCAGGACTAGGGAGTACTCATTCGTTTTCATGTCGGGCTACTCGACATCCTTGGACGAAATAATGAAAATTCCCGCCTCCCCGATCGCATCATAATTTATGCTTGACATGAAGAAAATGTACAGTTTATGTAGAAGGAATCATAGAATAATGAATAGAAGGATGAAACCCATGTACAGTAGCATCAGTACACCAATGAAACAAAACAAAAGAAGAGAAAATGATATCAATTACTTGAGATCAGATAAATTACTACCAGCTGCTCGTTCGATACCAGCAGCCATCTTCTCCACCTTATTCTGTGCCCGGTCCTGTCTTCGCCGTCCTCGTGCCCTCCCGCCATCCTCTTCCTCATCTTCAGCCTCCTGCTCTCCCACCATAAACTCCGCCACGAACTCGGCAATCGCCTTCTCTCCCACCTCGCTGTGCGCCCGATTGCCCCACCGCCACTCATACGTCGCCCCGGAGTCGTCGTCTCCTTGGGTCGCACGCACGCGCTTCCCCTTCCCCTTCTTCGCGTCGCCCACCGCCACGCGCTCCACGAAGCCCTGCCGGATGATCGTGTTCATGTACGTCTCCATCGACACGCTCTTATGTGTAGCGTGGACATCGAACTTGACGGAACCGGACATGGGCTGGCGGAGTTTCTTCAGGTGAGCACGGAGCTCCGCATCGCTCAGCACTCGGCCGCTCACGAGGATGAGGGCGAGGATGATGTAGAGGATCCCGAGGGAGCCAATCTGGTCGGTGTGGCTCCACGAGATGAGGCTGCCGTAGGACCGTACGCCCCGTTCGTCATCGTCATCGTTATCGTCTTCCTCCAATGCTTCCTCCTCCAGGATCTTCTCGCTCACTTGGGCTGCCTCCTCGATGATGGCGGGGTTGAGGACCGAGCGCAAGATATAGCTCTTGGACCCAGCGGCAGCGGCTAACGTCTATTTCAGCGACCGCAGAGACGAGAACAGGTAGCGAGCGCACCTTTCTTTTTGACTCCAACTGCCTTCCTAGCTTCCTCGAGGTCGTCGTCGCCGCCTGTACCATCCCTACCCAGTTCTGTGCGAGAGCGAAGCTCGACGAGTTCCATCCCAAAGGTTTTCTGGAGCGTAGCTTGCGCGAGTTGAAGGACCTGATTGAAAGCACGCGTATTCGAGCCAAGTACTGTAAACAACATCAGAGGGAGTGACAGTCAAGTTCTGAGTTTATTAACCTTTCTTTGAGATCTCCTCCCTGCGCAAAGGATTCCGTTTGTGCTCTGCAAACAAAGCTAGGCGTACCAGTTGATTAGATTTTCGTACGAGGTCCTGAAGTCGCGTCAGCAACGCGAGAAAAGGCGATTTTGGAATCACGCACGTCGTCTCTGGGGTCATTTTCTTCGTCGTCATCCATGGATACGTCGCCATCTTCCTCCTCCTCCTCTTCAGTCTCTTCAGCTCTATTTCGCTGAGTTCTCTGAGTTGCCCTTCGCTGGGACTGCGCCTGGGATGCGCCTGAAGGTCGTTGACGGGTGCCTGCACGATTCATGATATCGTAAGAAATGGAAACGCGATGTGACGTGACGTTTCCGTGACACAACGCGTTTCACGTTCGGCCGGCCCTTGAGAAGCCGCATCTCGCGATACTCAGCCTGAGAAATTTTATTTCGATTTATGATCATTTTTGACGGTTAGTTTTTCAGCCCTGTGACCAGTGACGACGAATTAATTGAAATAGTACAGTATCTCTGTTGAGGATGATGGTTTCACAGCCACCAGGCCGACGGTTTGCCGTCTTGTGTTTTACCTTATC